TAATAATTTGTGCAATTGCTGCACAATCTTTCGAAGAATAAACGGCACATACATAAAGGAGATATGTGTATTTATATATGTATTAGTTATATATAGCGTTTCAGAACTGCAAAACTTGACGTAATTAACTTGAATTCAATGAAAGAATTTTTAATAAACGTAAATTTATGAATTAATTATTTTTCAGGCGTCTTTAGCTTTCCATTTTGCAAACTAAATTCTTTGTAGGATTGCAAAAATGTAGAATCTTTGATATCTCGACAGTTCGAAGCACTGATAATTTATATGTAATTTTCATATGTAGTTTCATTTATATTTTCAATATTGATCAGTATTAGTTTTTGAATACATGTCACGGTCGTGTATGTGAAAACTCGATGAAGCGTATGTTGAATGGCAACTCTGATTTGAACATCCGCTTTAAATATAGCTATTCAATCCGAAGTTATCTATAACATTGATATTTAATCCTTACACGTTCACGTGATGATTTTTCGTGTTCTGTTCTTTATTATATGACGAATCCTTCGTATTTGAACTAATTTTTATCACTTTTACAAATGTACAAAAATTATTAAACTGTTCTTACGTATACTTTAACATCTTTAGAAAGTATTTGTAAGGTTATGTGAAAAAAGGAATAAAAATCATTATTTAGTAAAATGTTTCTAGTATTTTAAAGAAAAGAAATGCGTAGGACACGCGAATGATCCAATCATACAATCATAAGTAATTTAATTATCTTTGTAATTCTCTACGATATGTTTAATACTCGTTTCTATCAATATAGATTAATTTTAATTTTAATTTAATTTACTTTTTATCTTTTTCTAGTTCTAAAAATTAGGAAAGGATAAATAGAACGTTAAATCGAGATTAATCTACATTGTTAGAAATGAATATAAATCTACACGAAGGATTTATAAAATGGAAAGCTGAACATCTTTCGGAAACAATTTGTTTAGATTATTCTCGTACTTCATTCTCAAGATTTTTATTTGTCTTTACAAGTTACATTAGCTATTTCTATCTCGACGTATATTTTTATAAATAATTTTCCTATCCATATAACATATAACATATTATTATGACATATCTATTATAGATATTTACGATAAAATAGTAACTACTACTTGATAATATTATATCGTCGATCATATTAAATCGATATAATATTAACCCATAATTTTGAATCGTTCTCATGGACATTAGATAGGTAATATTACTACGTTACAAGACGAACCAGTCAGATTCCTTAACTGCAGAAACGTCTCAAGTTGTCTCATTACCATGATTTATCGTCGTAAAGTATTTACGAGCACAGGATATACTTCAGGTATTGCGCAATATCGCGATATGTACTGGAAAATCCGTTTCCTGTAACGACACGCCCGTCTCGCGAAAGGGGGTCGGCACGCGTTGCGAATAATGCGAGTACGTATAATTAAAGCCTCGAATCGAGAGCACATGATAATACGATCCGTAATACGTGCACATATCCGTGCCGCGGACATGACTAGTTAGTGACACGCGTCAACGTCAATGCGCGTGTCTGACTGGCGGAAACATATGCTGCGAACGTCTACGCACATCCGGCGCGCACTCCTCCACCACGCAGAGATACGTAATCCCCGTTTAACGTGAGCCAATCGCGACGGAGGATCTCGAGAATCTGGTGGATGGACCAAATTCGACAACCGCATCAATTACCGAGTGACCCAATAAATGATAGACGTGATAAGAAAATTATATTTATTCCTTTCATATATAGAAATATTCTTCCACAATCAGATTTTTTTTTTATAAATATTTTCTATTATTCATATAGTTATTATTAACAAATAATAAATAGTGAAGCTTGATTGAAAAAGCTCTGTTTAGCAATTATATACACTGGCACACGAAAATCTCGAACTTCATTATAAAAGATGTTGCGTTTGTGACGAAGAGAAGAAATTATTATTAGAAAAATTATGTTGAAGATAAAATTATCTGAATAGGTTTTTTTTTTTACATTTTTTAATGATAATAAAAAAACGATTGTTAAATTTAATGTCACGATTGTTGTTCTTTTATTACTAATATGTTACAATAGAAGCGAAGAAATGTGTTATAAATGAGAATTGGAACGATGGCTCGTTTCAATCTATCGACAATAAATGGACGATAATGTCAAAGTTTTCCTGGGACGTGTCAGACTATCCGATCTCTTTTGTATAGGATACCATTCTTTTTATTGCTAGCAAGACTCATTGATATTCACGCTAAAAGTACGAGTCATTTTTTCACGCACATAATGATACAAAAATTAATACTAAAGTGCATAAGTTATCTTTTTTATTTTTAATGAAACATAATAATATATTTTTTATATTTTAAAATATTATTATTCTATTAATATTTTTAAATGTCAGTAGAATTTTATGAAAATAATATTTTAATAATGATTATAATGTTTGATCTGTGTGCGAAACATGATTACATTTTATAAGTAATATTCCGAGTATCGAGTACTTATCACGCGTGCAACAAGAGTGAATTGCATCCATTAAGATAAGCGAAGAGCGAACAGTCGGATGCGAACGGCTCGGATGGTTGTCTCTCGCGAGCTGGTAACATGAACTTAATTTGTGTTCCCGGCGGCAGCGCACCAACCGTTAATTCGAGGTCTTCGTTAACATGAGCAAGAGAAAGCCGTCGTCGAGTAGTTGCGCCTCGAGGTTGCATACAGGTCACTAACAGGAATTCATGTTACGTACCATACAACCCGACCATGGTGATGTGCAACCTTCGTAATTTCGCCCCTCGAAAAGACTCCGCAGTAATTATATAGAAAATTGGGTTCCGGTGAAATGAGTCAGTTTTCACATATTGTAGCTTATATGTGGTGGACCAAAAATATATATGGCTCAAATAATTGCTAGTTCTTGAGCAATATAGGTATAGCAGTATAAAAAATGTAAAATTTGTGTTTGCAGAGCATCTTTAATAAACCATAGCTAAAAAACTATCCATTATTAAACTTTATATCTATGACATCTTATTATAAGCTTATTACAGCTTATTATAAGCTACATTGCATGTGAAAACTGATTTATTTCATTGGGTCTCGATGAAATAGTCAGTTTTCATATATGATGTGATTTATAATGTGTTGAGCAAAAGACACAGAGACACAGGCTCAGTAATGGATAGTTTTGGAGCTGTGATATCATCTATCAAATATAATCAAACAAAATATCATATATTAAAGATGCTTTGTAAGCACAAGTTTTACACTTTTGACCGCAGTTTAAGGATTTATTATTTGAATCATATTATAAGTGTATTTTTGTTCATCATATTGTAAGCTACAGCATATGTGAAAACTCATTTCACCGGGACCCAATTTTCTATATTTAATGCGGTCTTTTAACGAATACCATCCACAGGAACGTGTCCATTAGTAAAGAGCTTTTGAACAGCGATAAAGGTATAATGCGAATGTCACGTTACGTTTGGAAAATTATCTTGTTACTTTATTATCGTCGAACATAGTAAAACTGACACCAGAGAATGGAGGGATTTTTTCTAGCCTGTGTGTTAGTAAGCCTCCATGAATTGATTTCTTCAGTTTGTTTATGCCTGCGTATATGCAAATGTGCAAGGGCGCAAGCACATGTGTGTGTGTGTGTGTGAGGATTAGCATCCCGCCGACTTGGTTGCCTGGATGCGTAAGCGCTTACGTAGGACGTTTCATTGATCGACACGCTTTTGCGTCATACTCATGTCGTTTACACGAATTCGTTTATGATCGTCATTGTTGAACTATTGACATTTACTGTTGACATCAAAAAGCGACTATGTGAAAGAAGATTTTAATGGCCTCCTAAAATAAATGATCTTTGTAATCACATTTTGGTTGGTCGCTATTTATAGCTCTTATTTTAAAATCTTCTTAGGTAATATTTTATTTTTAAGATACTAATACGGCTCTGTAATTGGTTTATGTTATTTTAAGATTATACTTAAGACAGTTTTAAACGAGAACCGATTATGAATACGGACTTTGATCTTCCGTTTTTTAAGTAACAATAATAATAATAATAATCTTTATTGCAATGTACAACATAGTTAATTACAAAGCTGAAAGACGAAAAGAAATACAAAAGATAGTACACGTAAATGATGAAGACTCCGAGAAGACTCAGTAGAACAAAAGTAGAATATTAAAAAAATAAGCAAAAGTAAAAATAGACAGCAATATCGAATATAATTAATTCGTATACGTGCGATGTGTTTTCTTATAAAATTAGATAATAGATCACATTGAGAAATTTCGATAATTTTGTTCTCTACAGAAAATCTATGCAGTTCATACAAATTTCATATTTAATTGTGATTTCGGGATTAATTGCACCTTGGAGCAGCTCGTAATACCAAATGTGCTCGTTGATCTTTAACGTTATTTTAATGAAATTCTCAAATTTTTTCACCGAAATTTATTTCGTACAAAGATATATTTGTGCGGGAGCGGGATAGTTCAGTACATAATTAGGATGCCATCATTCGCGCAAGTCCTCGCATTATTCTTCTCGTTATGGGGAAGTAGATTTTAAATTTACGAAATTTATGGCATGGCATGACGGCATGAATTTCCCGACCGGTCTTCTAGTTAACGTGATAATCGTACCTATAAGAATCGTGGCGAAAATTTGCATTTTGATTCGCGATTAAAATGCAAGTGCGTTGACACGCAATACGTAAATCTTAAATTGAGAACATCCACGCTTGTCTATGATTTATAAATATTTATAAATTAATTTATCTCCTCGGTGCTCTTGAGGTTGCAGCAGAAAATCAACTTACATATATAATCTCAGCATATTTTATAGAAATGCACATACATTATCCAGTCATCAATAATAATTGCTGCAGCAATTTCACATTTCTAAGAATATTATTAATGTTAAATATTATTAATATTATTAATGTTATGGTCCATCTCTTTTTTTTTTCAGGGAAGTTCGAACCGTGGTATTGAATAAAGGCTCTCCTGGTCTGGGTTTTAACATCGTTGGTGGTGAAGATGGTGAAGGTATCTTCATCTCGTTCATTCTAGCCGGAGGTCCGGCCGATCTCAGTGGTGAATTACGCAGAGGTGACCAGATATTGAGCGTTAATGGTATCAATCTCCGAACAGCCACTCACGAGGAGGCCGCCGCGGCTCTCAAGGTGAGATCTTCGGTTTTGCTTTGTTATTATTTAAATAATATATAATTGTTACATAATTCAACTACTTTTGGTGCTTTTCAACAACAGACATAGTATAATACAGTGATTATTTCATCTTCGTTTAACGTTGGCAAACAATAAGAATCTAATGATTCATTGTGTTGCATTATGTCATCTGTCTCTCTTCTTGGAAAGCACTTTTTAGCTTCGGCAAAAAATTATAATCCGCTAAAAAAAAAGTTGTTATGAAATTTCATTTATTAACCGAAATTTGAATTAAAATATTAAATATTGAAAATACTGATTACATAAATAATAATTTTGATTTTAGGTAGTATTTATAAATTACTTTCTTCAAAAAATTTCAAAAGTTGTGATTAATCGAAAATAATGGATACGGATTTTGGTTTGTTTATGTGTATTCAGGGTACTGGTCAAACAGTGACAATCGTGGTGCAATACAAACCGGAGGACTATAATAGATTTGAGGCGAAGATCCAGGATCTTAAACAACAAATCTCGCAACAGAATGTAATGACAGGCACCCTCATGAGGACCTCTCAGAAAAAATCACTCTACGTGAGGTAATTATACTTTTGCGATTATTTTTCGTCTCGATCATTTGTCACATAGGGTTCCAATTTCAAAACCGTTTAAACCGGGATTATCTGATGTTTTTATGTTTAAATGTGAATTATGTGAATACTATCCTTTTTCCTTTTATGCATTTTTTTTCTTTTTTAATGATTATTCTTTATGAATCTTTAAATATGCAATTTCATCGAAAATCTGTAATTAAAAAGCGTTGTATTAATTAAAACTTTTATTTTTTATGAATAAAATTTTTCTAAAAAATGTCACTTTAAGCTATTTAGTCATTAGTTATGTTTATTTTATTTAATATTTGTTTTCTACTTAGATACTTTTTTAAGAAAATCCATAATGTCAACAAAATGAAAAACAATTAATAATATACAATATATTGTTAATAGTAGTGATTTTAAATGAGACTTGAATCACTTAAAGCATCCTCAGTGATCGTTTATGTAAAAAAAATGACTACTTTCGGATTAAACACATTTAATTAAAATTAGAGTGAAAATGCTCTCTCTTTCTTCTCTCTCTCTCTCTCTCGTATATTTTCAAAACAAATTAAACAGAGTAGTAGCTTATTTCAAGCTTATAATTAGACTGACTTTAAATTAATACAATTATAATCATAAGAATGTAAATACTACGTAATATTCTAAATACATTTAATAAAACAATATAAAAATACAAACGTTTTACGGCTTACGAAGTCTTCTTCAGTGTACGAAGCAAAAATACATTATTAAATAAACGAACCAATTAGATATCGCATATAATGAAATATTAAAAAAAAACTATCAGTAGTGATGCGTCAATTTATATAAAATTCGAATTTCAAAATGTGTTAAGACAGATTACATAAAATAAGAAGAATGACACTGAAGAAAGCTTTGTAAATCGAAATGTTTGTATTTTTATATTATTTTATTAATCATATTTAGAATATTATGTAGTATTTACATTCTTATGATAATTGTATTATTTTAGTAAAATCAATCTAATTATAAACTCGAAATAAGCCACGACATTTAATTAACACATAGCTTCGCGTATAAATAGATAATTTGTGTAAAATATGAAGGCAAATATGACAATATTTTTTCCCCAAAGAGCGTTGTTCGATTACGACCCCAACAAAGACGATGGTCTGCCGAGCCGCGGCTTGGCGTTCCGTTATGGTGAAATCTTGCACGTGACGAACGCTAGCGATGACGAATGGTGGCAGGCAAGAAGAGTCACCCCACAGGGCGAGGAAGAAGGTCTGGGTATAATACCCTCGCGCAGGCGATGGGAACGTAAGCAGCGTGCCAGGGACCGCTCTGTCAAGTTCCAGGGGCACATGCCAGTCATTCTCGATAAGGTGAGTAAAAACGGGAATTTCTTGAAGCTCATAATTTCTCTGAAAATGACGAAAAATCACGAATTATAATACAATTATAATTATATATGATTATTATTATTATTTGAGATGATTATATAAATATAGCAGAAAAAAATTTTCTCTTTTGCTAAAAATTAAAGTAACAACTCGTATTAGAAATATCAATGAAATTTGCTATGTACAAAAATTAGTTTAATTATTATGTATTATTTTAGTAAAAATGTAGTTGGTTTAACCTTTTTTTATCTTCAAAATTTTATCTCGATATTTTTTTATATTAATTGTAAGTTTGATTTCTTATTTTGAGCTTATTCGAGGTAAAAGGCTAAATTTTATAAAATCTGAGCATGTATAATAGAATTGTTCAGAATAGATTTTGATTGGAATTTCGTTATCTCTAGAAAATAAAATAAAAATCTAGGGAATAATTGAACAATTCCTATCGGAATTCATTTTGAATAATTCCGATAGTACATACCCTGAGCAAAGCGATAAAAGAATTGATTGACATTATTATCTTAAATTAAGGAAAATTTTTAATGAGATTTCTTTGCAACATAAACTACGGTTTCGCGATGCGAAATAATTCGTAATCTCGTTTGGATAACGTGCGTAATCGAAAATACGTGTCCATTCGACATTGTTTCATTTACTAACGAGGAAAAATGTTTAATTAAATATTTATCGCAATCAATAGCCGTATGACTATTTCAGTCTGCAAATTTGATAAGGCCAAAAAATTAATTTCAAATTTGCGTGACAAATGTTTCAGTTGTAATGTTTTCTCTCTAAAAGAATCCAATTTCTTCAAAAATGACAATAAAGAGAAAATTATAACAGAACTAATTTATTTTAGAAGATTGTAAATATAGCGTTTTTTTATTAAAAATTATCATGTATAGTTTAATGCTTTCAGATTTCTACGCAAACATTATTTCTATTTTTATAATATTTTACTTTCTTCAAAGATTATGAATTTGATAAAATTGTTTCTCATGAAATGAATTCATTGATGTACAACGAAATTATGAGATTTATGATTTGTTGATCATAGAAAACTTATTAATTTCAGCAATCAACTCTTGACCGAAAGAAGAAGAACTTCTCGTTTAGCAGGAAGTTCCCCTTCATGAAGAGCAAAGATGATAAGTCCGAGGATGGCTCCGATCAGGAACGTGAGTGTCTAGAATGTGATTGTTCTCTTTTCCCCTCCTGCACGTTCTGTGCATGTTCTGATCCATATTTACTGTGTTTTAATGTTTTACTCGCCATATGTATTCGCCTATATTTATATCGTACGATTTAACCGCTGAATTATGAAATATTATTCCTCACCCTCAAGCCTCGGGCCGCAGTCTTCGCAATCGATGGGTTCAATTTTTATTAATAATTAATAATTTTATTGATAACTCTACATCCTGCAGCAAACTCGAAAAGTTTAACTGAGGACATTATAATGTACAAAATGTAACAATAGAAAAATATTCTTCTTCTAGTAAAGCAACTTTCCGCGTCTATTCTACGATATTATCAGTATTCACTTAATTACTTAATATGTGTACAATTTCTTTCATTATCGTTGTAAAAATGAATTCTTCAAGATTTCATAACGCACAATTATAAAAAGAGTTGTTATCAAAGTGTAACATTATCGATGTGTAATATGATTTTCCGTGTAAAAATCGAAAAGCAAATAAAATCATTGATAAAGTCCCAACTTCCGGTGCGATGAGCCCCGATCAGACACGCCCAAGTCCCCGAATGAGCTTGTGTGTTTTACAATGTGAAAACGTGACATGTGTTTTGTTTTGCCTGCTTGTGTAGGAACGCCCACCACACCTGAGAATGAGAACGATCCCACCCGTAAGTATCTTAATTAGACATGTAATAAGCTCTGTAAATATGCACTTTCGCCATTTTTCATATGCAATAATGTCAACAGTGACGCAAGCTTCAAAATCTATGCTAAAACACGAGAGTTGAGACGAAATTTTAGTGATATATTGAATTAAAGAATAATTACATACACAAAAAGAATGATTTTGCTAGAAAGATGAAGTGTCTAAAAATTTAACTAGACAAAACTGAAAATAATTTGATTTAGATGATCAAAATAATTATGTAGGATGCTCTGATTACTAAAATGTTAAAACTTTTTGCAGCGTTCTCATTAATATTTAAACGTTCTATGTAATTATTTTGATAGAGCCCAACAAAATTTTCAAGTCAATATACTAGTTAAACTTTTATATATTTTAGCAAACTGTTCTTTCCGTGTATAATCTAAAGAAATATTTTTGTTCTAATTGTTTATTCTCATACGAAAAGAAAAACACAATTTTGTGGACGTATCTAAAAATTTAGCTAAATACAGATCTGAAAATAATTTTATTGAACTACAAAATAATTATGTGTGATACTCAAGTTGGTTGCTGTAATATTAAAATTTTTTACAGTACATATTGCGTGTTTATCACACACAAATGCTTGAGGTTTCTATATAAATACTTCCATAATCCAACAAAATATTGTTAGATCCGTATTTAGCAAAAGATTTTTAGAGCAAAATCTTTTTCGTGAAACAAATTGAAGTAAAACAGTGAAGTAAATTGTTAATGTATAACGATCGAAAGAAAATTGAGAAATGCATGATCTTATTTGATTACAATAAAAAAAATTGTTTACAGTATTTATTTTTAATGTAATTGGCTTTGTCTCGGATCGAAATCGAGTTTTGGTCGAGATTGAATCTCAAAATGTTGCAATGTGCGCGATGTTGCTTGCGGAGAACCACCGCGCATCATTTAGCAGCCGCAGTAGCTTCATTTGCGTCCTTCGACCTCGCTTGCGCATGCACGCTGCACCTTGAACTTTTCTGCCTCGTGCAGAGTCTCTAGACTAACATCCCGACCGACACGCTCTTATATACGCTCTCGACTCCGCTTCTAACTTTCGGCTTTTCACTATTAGGTTCACCGATAGTCCGTAGAAACGGTCCAGCACGGTAGAGCAATGTTCCTCTCAGACAGTAGTAGTTTACATTCTCTCTTTCTCTTTTTCTTTTTTTTACTTTCTTCCACCAAAGGATAATTGACGTAAACACGCATCCCATTCATCTCAAAGATCATGTCATGAAGCACATCATCCTCCATCAGATGCATTCAGCAACACTTCCGGATTGATAAAACCGAAAAAGAAATTATTTGAAGTACTAGATGCATGTACGTCGCATTCTCATCATGTTAGATTGAAAAGAAATCTCTTCGAATGACATAATACGCGATTCGGTGTTTGACAAGAAGATACACATCACTTAGCTGACGGCGAAAGAAAGAATGTTACAATCTTGAGTTGCACAGCTGATATTGTTTTTTTTTTCTTTATGTTACGCGATGTTTTTCTCAAGCATGAGTGTCTCCGTAACGAGCGAGACTTTAACGATTTTATTTATCGATGTCGTAAAAAAAAAAACACTTTGATATAAACTACGCTTACTACGATTACCTCTTCAACGTAATGCTTCCACAAATAACGTGCGACACATAACGTACGAACATTCCGCGATTGTTCCACTAGGGAATTTGCATTCTTCACGAAATATTTAGTTATGATGATATTTAATTACGACAATCATGATTTTGAAGAAAGGAATAATTCGGACGATTCAAATTCGCGTGTCGTTTCTCGAATCTACAAACACATTTGCATTATGGTCCATCGAATCCATCCCGTGCGTAGCAAATGGAATCGCGCGCGCACAGTAGGAGAGAGTTTTCCCGAAAATCTATAGTGCTTCTAATTAATTCTAGCGATAATTAACGGTCGCTTATTTAGTACGCAACGTATACTGAAATGTATTCAACTTGTTATGTTCTAGCATTCATGCTGTGCTACACCCAGGACGACACTAACACTGAAGGTAATCATGTCTCTCTCTTCTCTCTTCATTCCTAGTCTTTCTATCTCGCTATCTTTAGTTCCTCTTCCCCTCCTCTCTCTCTCTCTTTCTCTTTCTCTATCTAGTTTTCTTTTTCCTCTTTCTCTTTTTATACATGTACAATATATCTCTCCTATATAATCTTCCTCACACTGAAGAGATCGTATTGCCTGGGTCAGCTACGCGCGATAATGAATTTCGATCACGATATTGTTTCGCAATTACACACGTGCTCGAATAGATTAATATTATTAATGTAATTAATATAATTAATATTGGTACAAGAATTATGTTAGTATTCATTATCACGTTAACGTTCATTATCTCTTGCGATATTATTTAACATAAAATAAGTGCTTATGTTAACGTTCACGTATATAGAGAATTCAGCATAACTCAAATTTGTTGCAATTATACAACAATGACGCTCCAGAATTTATAATTGTAGTATTTGTGAAACGTTCTGATCGAAAATCTCATCCCTTTATTCGTCTACTATCCTTGCGAGAGATATCGATCACGCTTGCATTCATTTGTCAGCAATAATTCAGCAACCAAATATATGATGCCAGCCTTTATTATACGTCATGGGTAGTATAGCATATCTATTGTTTTGTTTCAATGGAAGTATGCATATTCATACGAGATGGAAAGGTCAACTCGAAATCTTCATTAGTTAACAATGATGACGTTCATGCAGTTAAAGCATATGTATAAATTTATTCAAACCCCTAAAAAATATATATAGATAACCTGCACCTATGAACATTAATACACTATAGAACAATTGATAAAGGAATAATATGATACAAAATGTTAAGAATGTAAATCAATATATAAAAAATACGTTTTTTTTATTTTCCTATGTCTCTATGCTTGAATTAAAGCAGAATTTATTATATAATATTTAAAATAGGGACAATATTTGCAATTTGATTTCGAATATGATTTCGAATTGAACTTGAAACGTTCGCTGATTATATATCGAGAGCTTTTGTCACAAGCGCATTGTCTATCGATGAAATTTCGCATACGACTCTTTTAGAATCTCATCTTAGGACCTTGATTGTCCGCCACTCTTCCTCCATCGCCGCCGTCCATCATTCACCTCTCATTCATCACCATTAACATTATTGCCCTTCTATCTCTCTTTATTTTGATCTTTTTCTTTTCTTATTTATTCAAGATTTATCTTGCGCTACAGGGAGTAGAGAAATTTTGTTTCGCGTTCAGCTGCCGTATATGGAGGAACTCACGTTAGTTTATCTGGAAAAGGAGGGCGACGAGCCCAATGACGAGCTTAGTAAGTCGTAGCCGAGAGCAAATGTGTGAACCGTAGTGTGAGCGCAGTGCGCGCACACAAAGAGCCGATTTGTTCCTCTAGGAAAACTAACGCAGATCACAGACGATTGTAACCCTGTCAACGGGCGATTATCTTAAAAAAAAAAAAAAAAAAAAAAAAAAATTCGTGTTTAAAATAACCGAATAACGTTGTTTGCAATCCATGTGTCAGCTAACTATCCTTGATATTTTCTGATCTTCCATTAATATTTCCGCTCTTACGCGAATTTGCCGTGGGTAGAGATTTTCAAGTTAAGAGATTGGACATCATACGTTTGATTTGCCATATTTCTCAGGACCTACTTAGATATCCATGTATCTCATTCTATCTTATTCTTAAATCAATAGTAGAAACCAACAAGGCCAAAATGAGAGTATGGTAATCAGTACGTAAAGTAAAACAAAGTAAGAAATTTTTTTTATTACTCCTGTATTCCATAATTAGTGGTATAATTAAGTATTCGTTTCGACTCTCTTTGGAGGTCTCCTTGGCAAATATAAAAATAAATGTATATCTGTTTCTTTGTATATCAAATTTGAATATATCACCAACAAATTTTTATTCTTAGGCGTCCTGAAAAATATAGCGGATCAATTGGAAATTGTCTAAACGAAATGTCCAATTTCTTACTTGAAGATCTCTGGATGTGGGTCAAGGTCGCAGAAATCGTTTAAATATTGCCGCGGTTGCATAAGATAGATATAATTTGACAGCGGAGAAAGATAATGTGTCAATATTCTCGTGTTTCCGCTATTATCGATTTTACATTATCTTTACGATGTGTAACGTGGCGAGTTAACACAATCATCCGTCGATCTACAACTTTTCACTCTTTTATTTTCCAACGATAAAACTCACGATCGAAATTGAAAAGCAATCGCGAATACAATACGCCGGTTTAAGGCACCAATCGAGAAAACGTCTGTTTCCTTCGACATCCGTTAATTTTCTTCGAGCTTCTCTTTGCGATAAATTACTGACGAGACGCGCTCCGCGTACAATTGAGACGGCCGCGCAACATGCTGCTATCACGACCTATTTTCTCGTTTTCTTTTCTTTTCGCCACTCTCTACCTCCTCTTCCTCACTCGTAGAACCCGTAGACATTAACAGCAGCAGAACGCAATTAGAACGCTCAAATAGACGAAAAAATTGTGTCACTTCTTCTCGTCGCGCTGGAAACACATTGTCGTGCTCCTCTTCCTCATGCTTGCGCATTCCGAAAGTTTCGGACCACGTATTCGATTATCGCAATTGAAACCCGAGAAGAAGCGACATGGCCACATTAATATCAACTTCGTAACACGTGTTAGCAGCGCGCGGTATTGATTACAAATGGAGACCCCAACTTTCTTTTGTCTGTCTCTTTCTCTTTCTCTCTATTTTTCTTTCTTTCTTTCTTTCTCTCTTTAGCCAAGTATTGGTTTATAGTCGCTATACGTACTAACGCCACTTATGCACCTCTAACGTTCCTGGATCGTTAAATTTTTTAGTCATTAAGAGGTACAGCTTTCCTCCTGCTTTCGATTTCGCCCGAACGCTGAGAGCATGCTCGTGACTCGTCCGACGAGAGAAATGTGTACTTGTCCGAAATGCCAATAGAAACTAAGAGCCGGGTCCGCTTGAGACAGTTGAAGGACAGTTGTTACTGGACATGACTGATCTATCGAGTCATCAGCCAGAGATTGTTTCAAGTGGCTCCGACGAACGCATATCGCTCTGTGTGTAACATTGTCCCACGTCCGTTTCGTGGAAGTGTCAATTAATTAATGACATCATCGGGGACCGTCGTCGGAGAGCAACCTGTCTTTCGGAAGCGGGGTCGGAAGGAGGTCGTGTTTATTCTCTTCATGGATGAATGTTATTGCTTTTTATTTTTCTTTGCTATATCTGAGTGGGTGGACTTGTGCGCCGAAGGTTCGGAGGAGATTGCGAGATTGCTTGTAATGATGATGAGATGAGGCCTCTATCGAGTCTTCGGAAGCGCGTCGCAGAATCGTGAATATAGATTTGATTAAACGATTGCAGGCAGCGAAGAGAACGTGCTTTCGTACGAGGCTGTGCAGCAGTTGACGATACAGTATACGCGTCCCGTGATCGTTCTCGGACCACTCAAGGATCGCATCAATGATGATCTCATCTCCGAATTCCCTGATAAATTTGGCAGCTGTGTTCCACGTAAGTTGCTCGACAATTGAATGATGATCAACGATAGAGTTTTTTCTCTTATGGAGCTGTATATCGATTTTTGCGCATTTGCCTGCAGACACAACTAGGAGTAGAAGAGAATATGAAGTAGACGGACGAGATTATCATTTTGTGGCGTCGAGGGAACAAATGGAGAGGGATATACAAAATCATTTGTTCATAGAGGCCGGACAATATAACGACAATCTTTACGGAACATCCGTTGCATCTGTACGAGAAGTGGCTGAAAAGGTACGCATAATTTTAGTAGAATTAACTTTTTACAGACTTTACTTACGTCACATTGTATTATATTGATGAGAAATTATCAAAAATGTTTGTAATTGTTGCTTTTACAGGGCAAGCACTGCATTCTTGATGTGAGTGGGAATGCTATCAAGAGGTTACAAGTAGCACAACTTTATCCTATTGCCATCTTCATCAAGCCGAAATCGGTGGAGTCTGTTATGTAAGTTCAGTAATCGATCTTTAATACGCACAGATTTTGTTATTATTTATTTTACTAAATCTAGCGCTCGTAATTTTACAGGGAGATGAATAAGAGGATGACCGAAGAGCAAGCGAAGAAGACGTACGAGCGTGCTCTCAAGATGGAACAAGAATTTGGTGAATATTTTACTGGTATGTTTACATTTACAAGACTTTCTATTAAATTCAATTTTATAATCTAAGGGAATTAATATTTCAGTTTGATTGTGTTACAAATCCGAAAGAAATCAATGCACAGTCATATATCTGAGATTAATTTATTTAAATGTACATGTAGATATATTATATTCCACTTAACTTTGACTGTAACTGATGTTTTTCTCATATATTGATATATTTACATAAGCGATCCTGTTCTAATCTTAATATCGATTTTAACAAATAAAATTCAACTAAACTACGGTATTATTTATGATTTTTTTTATTATTAAAATACTTATATTGTAATTGTTGCAAACACTCTAAACGTAATGCAACATATTAAAATCAATTAAAATCTGAAAAAATCAATCTGTAAGAGAAATCAATATTTGACGCAATTAAAATATTCTTATCGTGACGATTAAATCGCTATTTATTTGTAGCCGTCGTTCAAGGAGACACTCCCGAGGAAATTTATGTGAAAGTGAAGGAAGTCATCTCCGAGCAATCAGGACCGAACATCTGGGTTCCCTGCAGGGACCAGCAGCTGTGACGTCCTGCCCCCCACGCTCAGCATGGGCCCAACGCCTGGACCCTGCCACCGAGGCGACAAGCTTAGTTATTCACGATAAATATAATTAAGTGATGCTCTAACACCCTTTCCTAATCCCTTCTTCCCTCCCGTATCCCATATCCATGTAGCACAAAGTCCCTACTTAAGACGCGTAACACATGTAAATCGCCGCAGAGAATTTAAGCCGAAAGAATACTTAAAGACGGTGGGACACACGATATCACCATTTCCCTGCGGAGAACTGATAAAGTCAATCGGGACGCGTGATTTATTCTCCTCTAGGTTCAAAATCTCATAGAAGATTATTAAGAGGGAAATGAGGAAAACTAAGCATTCGGGCGTGCTCATCATGTTGAATTTTATCGTGACTGATGTTTCTGATAACAAAAAATGACGGAGAGAAATTCGTAACTTTTATCGCATGATCGTCGATTATTCGTGTGTGTGATCGTCCCTAATTTTATTAATTAACCTCGCGAAAGAATTTAGAGGCGTTGTATGTATGTACAATTGCTCGAGAAGATTAGATCGGCGTATGTCGAAACTGAATTAGCGGGCAATTCGAAAGAGTTCTCTCGAATTCGACTGAACTATTAGCTACGAAATGCGAACGCTTTTTCGGTCATACTCGGGCACGGTATTTTTTAATGTACTTAAGCGCAGTTAGCGCGCCGAGAACGTCGAGCGAATTCGACGAACTCGATTCGAAAAAAAACGGGGGTATCGCGGATAAGAGAAAAAAACCGTAGCCCCCCAGCGACGTTGTGTATGTGTTAATGAACCTCACAGGATTAAAAGAAACAGTAAAAAAAGCAGAAAAAAAGAGAAGAGAAACCTCACAGGACAAATCTTTAGATGCTAGATACACATAACGATATATAATGTTTTGTACAGCTAGATGACTAAGCCAGTAATTGGGTTATGTGCAACATTATATTTGTGGAATGGGCGATACGAGGAGAGAAAAGAAAAACGAGAGAAAGAGAGTGAGAAAGAGAAAGAGCAAAAAATACTATTGTAATTTAAATATCACTACTAAATTATTATTATAGTAGGTATTATTGTAAATATATATTAATATACTCGCGTGTATCGAGACGGAAAGGCGTAGTAAGTAAAGATAAGAGTCGAAGAAGAAGAAGAGATAGAGGGAGGAAAGACAAGCCTGGCAAGGCTTTTCTTTCACGCGCGTCGGCTTTTTTTTTCGGATACATGATGTCACTCAGCATCGTGAAGAGATAAAGAATTTTCATGCCGATCATTCGCGCTCTCATAAAGCTTCAGCGCGAGCGTAGATGTATGCTGCTCCTTCGTATCTTAAGATATAGTTCTTGGCACCGGATCCAGCAGTCGTTGTTGATCATGAGCTCTAGCTTGCACGAGATCTTCAATGCATCCGGCTGAAGGGGGAAAAAAGAGGAGAAAATCATGTTCGTTAATGTACTTACGATTTCTATGGGGGAATCGCGAAAGGTGCGAATGGACAAAACTGTAACGATACGAAAAGAAAAGAAGACGCAGATATGGCCAATTGAGTTCTATATGTAGAATGAGAACTGCATTCACCGAATAATAAGCGAATATTCTTCATCGATAAACTCGCATCCTGAATAAAACTCAATAAAAAAAAAATATCCCATCGCTTGGCCTTCACTTGTTCATCGCGCTGCGAGCTCGCGATCGCGTGCACTATGCACGATGCTTTGTCCGCTTGCTCCTTCCGTTTCCGTAGCATTAATCATGCGCGAGAAGGTACGATAATTGATTCTCTCAATGAAACACGAGCGGGAAATCGAATTGTTGCAAACACGGGGTGTTATTACGGTAATTTAATTGTAATATAGCCGTATTGTTGTCGTGATATGGAAATACGCGATGAGTCGCGATGACGAAAGACAATGGCGACGATGATGATAATGATGATGACGATGATGATGAGCCAACGTATTTGGGCGCAACACGCGACGATCACTTCTGTCGCCTGTAATAGAGCCGAACGTTTCCTTTTCCTTATTTCGTAGTAACGTTCACTCGCGAGGAACAATAATATTGCGCGGACACGCTTTCGGGCTATTTTTTTCCTATATCGCGAGTTCTAGATTATTATTAAGCGCGATTATATCATACGAGATAGAATGAGGTACGAAGCGACGAGCTTCGGCTTGTGCCTGAAGGACAGAAGGCCTGGCTTCGCCGAGTTGAAAGATATCTGTCTCGATGTAAAAGACCGTATATAAAGAGAAATAATTACCGCAGATACCTATTATACACCTCTATAGTCTATTTAATAATATTACTTATTAAATTGTCAATCTCATGTTCACCTTGTTTCATCGTTTTTAAATAGTTAATAAACGTTTTACCAATTTTACTACTGTAGTTTGGTATCCCCATCCTTCTCTTTTTCATTCCTTACTTTTACTTAGAGGATATTATAATTAATATTAATATTTAAAATTATAATTAATTATAATTAATATTTTGATAAAAGTAAAAGAATATTCTATTAAAAAATTAACATTGTTGCTTACATGTTTGTAGATAAATGACAATTTTTTTTTTACTTGGTACAATGTATCTTCAAAATCAATTTTAAGTTAAAAGTTAATTATCATTTTTAATATTGTATCTTTTTGTACATAAAAAAATAAAAATATAAGTTTATTTTTATTTGCGAAAAAAAATCACAAATATTTTTTTCTTCATTTAGAAAGTTATTCGTCGGGTCCATCGTGACTCGCTTGTAACGACTACGGCAATGACAATAATAACGATTTCCTCTTTACACGAATCACAGTAAGACTCTAATTTGTTCATCAGCTTCAACGTTGTTTCGAACTAAATCTCTGAAATAAAATATATATTTGTATATATATATATTTATTTATATTTATATATTTGTTCATATTTTATATATATATATTTGTATATAACTTCTGTTTTTCTTTATCCGCATTAAAGCAGCAGCATTAACACATTTAGAAGTTTTTTTTTTAATATATAAATACAAGGAGGGCAATAGAAGGGAGAGGCGTTGTGTGAATGTTACACGACTAAGAAAATTTACATCCATCGTTTAACTACTATGTATATATGGTACAATAAAAAAGCGCGTAGTCATAGATGATAATAGTAGTAGTAGTAGTAATAGTAGTAATAGTAATAGTGGTGGTAGTAGTAGTAATAATAATAGTAGTAATAGTAATAATAGTAGTAGAAGTAGCAGCAGCAGCAGCAGTATTGATAGTAGCTATAGTTGCGGTAGTAATAGCGGAGTACTAGTATAATAGTAAATAATATTTCTAATAGTCGCAACATATATACATACTTAGTTCATCTCATGTCATACAACGTGACTCTCAAAGTCGGTTAATGCTTTATATTGTACACAAATAGTATACCCTATTATAAACAAATATCGCGGTCTACTTACACTTTAACTACTTAAGAATAAAAGATACAGTACGTACATACGGTTTCTTATCATTCTGTCAGAGAGAAAAGTAACTTTTCTGCGTTTCACTCCTCTTTATCTTTATTTCGTTTTTCCTTTCTGAAAATATGTATATACAATCGGCATAATGTAACCGCGCCCCTATCCACTTGACATCGTTAGCTAAATAAAAATTATAAGGAGTCGCCCGAGTGCACGCTGTCGCTTACGCAACAAATCGCGTCGTAACAACATTAATTAATATCACTCAATATTAATTAAATGAAAGGAACGATTTTGCTAAAGTTTTTACAAATTTAAATAGATGCACAGAGATGTGTGACTAAAAATATTTCATTATTATTAAAATAATTAAAATAATAATAGAACTCTTACGGGGTCATAGATACCTAGGATTCAAAAAACCAAATTTTTAATATATTTTTGTTTGATATTTTAAAGAACATTCCTGTACAATAAATCGATCCAACGAAAAAGGAAGAAGTTGCACAAAATTATAGTCGAGCGCGCTAAACAACTAAACGAATATAGCTTTCATCAAGCAGCAAAGAATTTGTTTTATGGTCCTGTGTGGAGTAGGTCATTGTAAAACTTTAAACGCATTTTTTTTAAACATGTTTTTGAAAATGCATGACCACTGTATCTTGAAAATGGCTTAACCAAAAAAAAGTGATTTTCAATTACTTTTTCTAGACATTCAAAACTGGTTTTTTACATAGGATTTTTAAAAAGGATGCTCCGTTTTTTGTCCGCAACCAAAAAATAAACAAAATTTTTGATAAAAAAATTGATATTTGACTAACTGTTATTTTGTTCAAATGCAATATTTTGGAAAACAGCTACGTCAAATATTATATTTATGTTTCAACTTTATAAAGCTTATGTCGTTTTGTTTTTAGATGAATTTTGTGGAAGTGAATGATTATCGCAAATTATATTTTAAAACAAGCTTCACAAGAAAATGCCATTTTTTATTACTTTTTAATAAAATTTAAATGATAAAGAAAGAAAAATACATTCTTTACGGTAAAATAAATCCAACTTCTGTCTCTTTTCGTTTTTCTACAAAAAAATTCACAATATTATGATTTATTTTAATGCATCTAGGTACTTATGCTCCCCTTGAGCATTGATGACAATACTGCATTCTCCAATCAGTTAAAACGTCCTATATCAATATTTTGATAATCTTAACGAAATTATTTTCAAATCATTATCTAACTAAATTTTTACATACTTCGATAAAATCGTTCTTTCATTAATTAAAATATCAATAATATTAACGATATTAATTAATTATCCCTTGTAATGGGAGTTTTTTTTTCTTCAACTAGCTATTATACACTCATACGCACTGATACGCGTCGCTTGCACGAACACACGCATTGGCATACGCATCTGTAGTCAGTACACTACCAAGTTATTTTCAAGAATACACGTGGATTTTTCCCTGAGACTGATTATAACGATTGAAATCTCTGTGCTGCACATGGCGTTAAAATAAACGCATTTTACAGCATTCTAAGCATCCTAAACGAAACCGAACCTATCTGGCCGCATTCTTTTTTTCTCATCTCATAACATTCCTACGCATATGCTAATATCTTCGTTCGTCCAAAAATCAATACAGGAACGTCGCGAGACAATAAGTACAATCGATATATTTTCCCCGAATTGGTTCCGTCCAAGTTTAAAATAATTCCTCACCTCTCTTATAATATAAAATTTGCATTCCTAAATTGCTTTAATCAAATACATAGCATCGCTTTGATGATCGAAACTCGCTGATTTATCTCTTCTTTAATTTCTCAAAATTCTATGCATCAAATTAGTTACAATAAAATTAACAAAATTTTATTATTAGATATTTTTCCATTTGACTCTTTCTTTATTTATTACATTTTGCATTTTCTTGTACTCTATACAAAGTTCTCTTCTTAATTTTAGAGGTTTTTTTTCTTAGCGAGTCTTCAATCGCCGATACGACGCGTTAACATTATCTTGGCATAATTACAAAAACAGAAATAATTTGAAGACAAAGTGTAAAAAACGGATATATTATTGCACAGTGAGCGTTTTCAAACGGTTTTTTTGGCCGCTTTAGTCCTTCAAAGTAATTACCTATCTTTTTTAAACTCTTAGAAATAATCATATATTTACAATTAGACCATCAACGAAACAAAAATGTTTATTTCGCGAATTGCACTTCCCATATTACAAAAATTGAGCCATTGACACCTGCTGAATCTATGTTTTATTCAAATTAAAATTAATTGCTACACACAATGGAAGCTGTACAAAAACAAAGAACTTGTATAAATTAAAAGTTGATTTTTTTGTGTATTATGTACACACAGCTCCATATAATACGTATATTTGTGTATATATATTATGTACTTATATACATATTGTAATGTATATATAATATATATAATGTATATATAACATATACATATATACATAAATATACATACAAATACAACTGTACAGTTATGCAACACAGAATATTAAAAATAATGAAATACTAAAAATAGAACTAGACAACAGATATGCACCTTTAATATGTATGACGGTGTCTTCTTAATGGATCAAATATTCTGAACTCAATGAATTGAAATTCAACTCATTTAGCATTTCAAGCACCTATTCGAATGGTCAATTAACACATTTCATAAATATAACTCACACGGCATATAATATACAAAACTCTTTTATAACATAAGGAAAAAACAAAGACTAAACTGTGGTAACGTTATCGTTTGCGATAGTAATTATGTTACACTCTCTTAACGTCGACTCTTCCAATGACGCGTTCGGTAATAGTTCAAAGAGGAAAACTAATATTCGCACACGGGCGCGCATTTTAATTCTACAAATCTCGGAGAGAAGTCCCTTAAAAACAGAGAAACTTCTTGAAGCCACGTACGAGATAAAAATATATCTGGTATGACAGCTACGTTTTCTCGCACTCTTAATATAATTATTACTATTTATGTTATTATTATTTTTATTATTACTATTCCGAGACTTGGTTCAACGATTGAGAAAAATCTACTCTCAAAGAATTCGTTTTCCCGTCGCCTTAATCACTCACAAAACAACATGTCTCCCTCTTTTCATTCGCTTATAAACGTTACATTAACAAACTTCTGATTATTTGTTCAGTCCTTAAGAGAATTAATAAAATATTCTCATTCTATGGATATATTACGTATATATATATATATATATCCCAATTCAATACTGCTATATAATGTCACAGGTAGTTGTTTCCCCACTCTTAGCTGCGCATTAAATAGTAGATAGTTTTGTTTAAAATTGCATTTGCACAGCTATGTGCTTCGAAGTTAATTTAATTGCGCGTTACGCTCCCGGCATAATATCGGGATTACCGATCGGGAATACCGATTTTCTTTATTTCGATTGACAAATTCATCACTTGAATGAAGGAACGGAACCGATTATATGTGCGTATCTCTTATCACTTTAGTCAAGCTCCATTTCGTTATATTCTGCACTGTAAGAGATCGAGAGGAGTAAAGTATCGGTTCGATTTACCTTCGAAACATAAGATAAATCGAGAAGTCAGTCTTTAGACACGTAAAAGCACCGATCTTCATTGTTGTATCGATCAGTCTTTCTTTCTTCAGAGACGAGTTTTCCAGACAAACAAATTTGCATCAGATTTTAAGATTATTTTCATAACAGTAACCTGATCATTTTTCTCGATGCTTCATAAAATAATCAAAATGATCTATTCTTATAATATTATTCATTGTTCAGCAATATAATTCTTAAAAATCGCTATATTTTTATATAATTTTAATTATATTTTGATAGGGCATCGGTTAAAGAATAAATCGCTCAATCCGCAGAATTTTTGTTACGTGTTTCTTGTCGTTTTCTTCCATGTTGCCGCTCGCGTTTTACAGCTTTGCCTTCAACTTTTTTCTGATGTTCCTTGGCTGAAATCGAAGTTGATGGTTTCGATATCTGGGGAGATGATCGCCCCAGAGAAGCCTCTTGTCACCTAAGGCTGATTAGCACTTTCTCTACGTTCAACAGAGATTTCACTTTGTCGTTGTACTTGATAAGAATGACCTTGGAACCACGCACATTAATCCTTTCGCCGCCGCTCAATAGGTGACAACAACGAGATTGTTCCAAAAAATCTGGCAATTTTAGCTCACGCATCACCTCACGATGCGCGATTGCAGGCGGTCCAGAATGTGCTTTCGGATTAATTTGACGGAGAAGAGCATCGCGACTCTTTATCTTCAAAATCGCCATAAGATCTTGAAGCAGCACCCATTTGTCGGGATCATTGTTCAAGGTGAACAAGACAGGCAAGTTGATGTCGCTTACTTCCATTTCGATATCATCTAGTTCATCTGATTCAGGATTGTCCGATGGAACATCATCGAGAGGATTGTAGCCCGTCTCTTCTGGATCTAAAAAGAATTCCATAGAAGATTAAAAATATATATTTGAAACACACACACACACGCGCGCGCGCGCGTGTGTGTGTGTGTGTGTGTGTATATATATATGATACAAAACTTTTAAGAATTCTGAAAAATTTGTGCTAACAATAACGTACCAAAAATTGAACATGGACCAGCGAATGACCATGGCACAGTGGTACGACCTTGGATATCAGCCAGGTGCTGTTCTAGAATGGCATTAGCATCGGTATCAACAGCTAACATCAAAGGCGTTTGTCCGGAATAAGTAGCCAATAATGGATCGGCACCGTATGACAATAGCAATCGCACAAGTTCTGTAGCACCATTCTCCGCCGCTTCATGAAGTGGTCTAATAATATATATATATGTATGTAACTCTCTATCAATCATCATAATCTATAACCGCCTACATTTATCAAGTTACTCGTCGATTTGACATAAGAAAAGTTATAAAAAATTTAACGAAAGTATTTACCTGATACCACCATTAGCACTCTCGCTTACGTTCGCACCGTAAGCCAATAAGAGTTTTGCGATCTCCAGATGACCCTTGGAGCACGCCTCATGAAGTGGTGTATATCCCGCGTTATCTTTAGGACTCGGCGCACTATTGAGCTTCTCCAGACAATAAGCAGTCACGTCCTGCGGCGGAATATAAGTAGATTAGATCGTAATTCGCGCAAATAGTTAATTTTGTCGCATGACGTAGCAACGTAATCATTATCTTACCGTGTAACCGAGACGGGCAGCGCGGTGTAATATGGTTTCCCCGACGCCCTTCTTGATAACCCACGTTCTAATCTCAGACTGAATATCGGCTACGCACTCCGGGCTTGGTTTGTTAGCTTGACTTTGCTGTAAAGTGAGATATCGCATTTCAAAATAATATTAAAAAAATAACATATAAAAAATCTTAAAGAGATGGAAGCCAACGAATTAGATAAAAATATACGTAAAAATGTGTAATATATACATACTCTCTTCCTTTCCTTTGGCAATGCCTCGTCTTTTTTTAATGGCTTCTTCTTCTTACGAATATAATCAAATCCAGAACGGAATTTTCGTCGGCCAGGTCGAAGTTTCAACTTCTTTTTATGACGAGTCTCCAAATCGTTCTTATCATCTTCTATCTCGTTAGTTTCCTCTTCTCTGATGTCGTTTGTCTCTTCTTGCTCTATCTCAGTCTTAATACGATGTAGTTTCTTATTAGCAAGTGATTTGAGGAGATCCTTTCGCCTCTCAACAGTTAATAGATGACGTTTCGAATTCGCAATAGCTTTGTGACTTCGCAGTATACCAGCGTTCCTCAAACGAGACACCACTTTTTGTTTTAATGTTCGTACCTTGCCTAATGCATTCTCCGGCGTTTCATTCTGCGAATCGTCATCTTGCGATGTGTCATCGCGATTCTGCATCGGCGGGGCTGACGCAGGCCTATCCTCGCCGAACACTTCACGAATAGTAGTTTCCTTCTTCAAGACTTTCGTCTCCGTTCTGGTTCTACTCTTCAATACTAGAGTGGAGAATTCATTGGGCAATGTGTGATTGTTCTTGAATGCGTCACGGAAATTATTCACCGTCTCTTTGCGGAAATAACCGAGGAGGACGGAATTGGTAACTTTAATCGGGTTTCTATTATTCTTCAATGCAATCTTGTTTTTAGGGCTCTTTGATGTTTCGGACGACAGAAGCGGTGCAAGACTTGGAGTTGGTAAAAGTTCCGGTTCGTTACTACTTTTATTAACGTTACTGCTCTTATTACTTTTCAGATTATGTTTCTTTTTTGAATCTTTCTGACTACCACCGACTTTCTGCGCGAGAACATCGACAATAGAATTGTTATCCGATCGGAAATGTTTCATCATTGCCTTCGGAGGACAAGAAACTGTTGTTGATGAAGTCGCCTCTTCGTCATCAATCTTACTGCCAAGTCCCATAATGCTGAAACTGTAATTAGATTCCATGTCACTGTCTCTCTTATTACGGCTGAGACACACGTCGGAACTATCCATCGAGACAGACAATGCCGGCGAACCAGGATCTAAATCTGGCAATGACGTGGATAGTCGGTGAAAACGCGATGGTTTTGACACTGTAATCAATCTGGGTGGCATTCTTAGAGATTTTTTGTAAACGTAAACCTCCTCTTCCCAACCAGGTCTAAAATCACTACCGTCACCGAATAACGGTTTTGGCTTCGCTTTTTGAGACGCTCCACCTTTAGGAGGCGACAATTTGGATTCCTTCTCTGTTTTTGCCTTATGAGGAGTAGTGTCTCTCGAACGAAGCTTCATACCTTCAGATACATTAGCTATAGATCGTTTCCTAGCTCGAAGTCTGTCAGCAACTGAAGAACCATGACCAAATATGGTACTAGCATCACTGTCCTCGCTCGAGGATTCGCTACCACTGGAAGATTCAAGCTTAATTCTACGAATTCGTCTTCTTCGGCATATCACTTCCTCATCACAATCACTATCTTCCTTCTTCACTTCCTGTCTTGTTCTTTTAATTAACGGTACCTCGTCTGAATCATCGCTTGAGTGTTTATCGTCTTCCTTCCTCAATCCGGGCTCTGTCTTAATCTTAACGTCCTTGAAAATCGAATTTGTATCATCTTTATTAGATGGATCCTTATTAAATATCCCCTTCTTGATGTCTTCGGGCTTGATTCGAGAATGCGATGCATTGGTATCCGATTCCTTGTCGCTATCGTTAACTGCGTCTTCAAGTTTCGATGTTGCGATACCACTCACTTTTTTTCTACGTCCACGTTTCTTTACGGCATCGCCCGCGCGTAATTGCTCCATAAACTTATCACAGGCGTTACTCCAGAATGGATCCATGTCGTTAATTTTATCGTTCTCCTGCAAACAAAGATTATATCTATTAATAAATTATAATTATAATGTAAGTAAAAACGCACGATGACTAGAATTTTTAAAGACAAAAAGAAAGAATTTAAACATATATTTTATACAATATTATAGCAGTAAGTATAAAGTTTAATAAAAAAAGCTATGAAGGGGGGAAATCATGTGAAAAAATCGTATTATACGATATACCGTGCATGGCGATTTTTACTGAAAACTATCGAACAAAGAATTTGTTTGAAATTTTGCGTTACGAACGAAATTTCGTTCACAAACGCATTCAAAATGTTGCAAAAAGCTTATGGCGATGATTGCAACATTTTAAATGCGTTTGTGAACGAAATTTCATTCGTAACGCAAAATTTCAAACAAATTCTTTGCTCGATAAATATCGCCGCACACACAAATCACTGACATAAACAATTGTCATTCTCAAACGGCTTGAAGGTACGCCATGATTTTTTTACCAAATGTGAAGAACATAAGTACTAACTTAGCTAAAATGGATTTGATTTACAGATTTCCCGCAATTTTTAAAAAATAAAGTTCGAATACTTTTTGATCACAGTAGTATTATAAATATTATCTTTTCCATTTGCTCCCAATATACATATATTAGGTGTTGGAATTAATTCGTAGCGTTTTTTAATGAAAGAATGTTATTTATTTCACATGAGCATTAAAAAATACATTAATGAAAGTACTTCCCATCACTTGTAAAACGCTACGAATTAATTCCAACATCTAATATATACATACAGGAATGGCAAATAACTTGTAACGTCGTTACTTTTGCTTACTTCGTTATAATAACGATTTAGTAATGATAATGCGAACTTTTTATAACGTTAACGATAATACCAAGATTGGAATAGTTATTCGTTACTTATAAGGAGTTGAAAAAATCGCACACACAGAAAACTCATTAATGAAAAAGTAACGCGTTACTTGTATCTCGTTACTTTTATTTTTTCAATAAATATCGTGTAATGATGACGAGTTACTTTTTAAAAATGACTTTCCTAACTTTAGCATAATCTTAACGTTTAGTTAGTTAAGAATTACATAAAAAAATTGTAAAATCATTACTAAATTGTTATTATAAAAAATAACGTATAAAAATGACAATGTTATTTATCAACTTAAATACATATATGATCTTCATATAACATACAAAAATAAAAACGTTTAATAAAAGTGTAAAAATATTTTTGTTCCTTTCTTAAACGAACAATGTAAATTATAATACAATATGACAAAAATCGATTTTTTTTCTTCTCATGAAAAAATCAAAGAGATTTTAAAAGCAGATGTAAAAAAAATACCTGTGTCTCGACGTTTTACGAGATCAAGTCGTTTTTTAAGTATCATCAAATGTCTTTTTATAATACTGTACAGCACAGATTTTCTCCCATAAAAAATTCAAAGAGATTCTAAAAGTAGATGTTAGGAATTATATATTTCGTATCTCGGTACTGACTTACTGGTTTGATAGCCATCGAAAATTTTCTGGGCAATAAAAAAGCCGACAATTACAAAAAGAAATTGTTGCTGAAATGATTTCGGCTTTTCATGCAATGAAAGTTAAAGTTGTCACTCAAAAACTTTCTTCACAATCATTTGGATTTTTTTCTACCAAATTTGGGTGAATTCAGTAATGAACATGATGAACGCTTTCACCAAGACATTGCGATCATTGAGAAACGCTTCAAAGGAAGACATGCTTGGTGAATACTGTTGGAGTATTGTTTCATGATACAAAACCGGTATTATACAAACGGTAAATCAAACGATTCTTATAA